ATTGCCTCAATTTAGAGGGTTCTTTGAAGAACACCATGGAACAAATTAGAACTAGGATCTGAATCTAGAACATGCTAGTTGCCTGGCTCTTCTGCTAGTACCCTGGCTTCATTACATTAATTCAGTTATCCAAAACAAGTATGCATATCAGGAAAGTCAAGATAGAGTCAATAAATTATCCTCTTAGTTTTGTGAGTTACTGATTCAAAGTACTGAAACCAGGTTCAAAGTACTGAAAACAACTGGCCTTTGCACAATAAGTGAGTTCATTAATGGAAACTTAAAGAGATATTTAAGTCAAAAAGTTTTTAAACCTTTTTTTAAATACTGATTAAATCACTTACAAGGCAAGTTGCTCCTTGATGTTTAAAAGTTTCAGCTTCCTGCAGAATCAGCTGGTCCTCTGATTGCTGGCTATGATATCCTGTTTTAAGGTGGCTCCCTTCCCTTGCAGGGTTCTATGGAGCCACCCTTGTGTGTGCTAGTAAGCTGCGTGTGTCCCCACAAACAGACAGGTACAGCAAGGCAAGCCATTCCCCTGCTGCCCGTTCATTCTCCCTTCTCCAAGCTAGTAGATGGATGACTGCTGTACACTGTGCTCTTCCTTGTGATCTTGTGCTGGACAAGAAGATCAGGAAAGCTGAGCTGGGAGAGTTGGAAAGCTGTTTTAAAATATGCTGACTGTAAGTGTTTGGGGAAAAAGAAATACTTTGCTGGGCAATGTATATTTGTTTTATCCGGATTCATTATTTAAAAAAAGTTTGAGAGTTTAATACTAATTTAAATGTTTGTGTTAGGGAAGGTTTTCTTTAAAGTGAGCCTGTGCAACAAGAACTGTTTTCCTGAAATTTCTCTTTAACTGCACGCTTACATAAAACTGTTTAAATTTAAAGGGAGAGAGCAGAAAAAAATGTTTTAGGTGAAAAAGTGATATAGCATACAAAGCATTATTGAGTTTTAAAAGCGCAGATAAAGAAAAAAGGTAACAGAGAGTTTTGCCAGAAACTGATTATTAAAGTTTCAGGACCAGAAAGGTAATTGTTCAAAGAAATAACAGTGAAAAGTACATTGTAAGAGAATGTAGGAGGCTCTTCTTCTTCAAGTATGACGTTAAGTGAGTAGGAGGAATAAAAAAGAAATGATTGACTAAGGAAAGAGACAAAAAATATTCTGTGTAAGAACAGAACTAGCTGATAAAAATTAAAATGACAGCCTTCCCATTATGATTTTGCCATATAATTGAAATAAAACTTTTTTACTTCACGGAAAGTCACACACATTTGTCTTGCTGGATACTGGCACCTGTGTCATTTTCTTTCTGGGTGCCATGAGTCTATAGGCTTTAACTGATGCTTCCATTAGAACATCCTCAGGTGCATTAATTTCAACAAAGTTAACTGAACAATAGAGGGTGCTAGAACGACATTTGGCAGATGGTGCAATTCAGTGATGTAGCAACTGCACAAGATGGAGGGTAAGTCCACGTACATTCCATGAACCCAGTACCACAGGTTAGCCCTTGGGAAGCATTGGTAGACCTAAGGATTGTAATAAAGATATTCTCCCTGTGGTAGGAGATGAGAATAGCCTGGCTGGCTAGTGTCAGTAGTATCATATTCCAGTGTGGAGCAGTTCAAGATCGTCAGTAGGGGGGAGTATCAATCCAGGTGTCCCCGAAGAGTCCCCGTAAATCCCTATCAAGATCTCTAGGCCAGAGCCATCCAATTTCTTCTATATGTACTGTATACTGAGATTCAAACATTTGACAGCAGCATTTGTATAGGCACCTCCTTCAGTGCTAAGGTAAGAACCTCTGTGCGGTGGTGGATGCGCACAAACAAAGGGGAGTGGTTTTATTTTAAAGTTTACCTTTAATAAACTAAAAGTTTCTATGGAAAGCACTTTGGATGGATCCTATGTTGTTTTTTTGTGAGTTATACTGCTGTCTAAACAAAACAGGGAGATACTGCCTGGCTATATTCTCACCCAGTGAGGAAATGGTGGGTTGTGTGGGCTCTCACATGGGCTATGCGGGGTCTATGGTTGGCTGTGCAGACTCTCAGGAGGCTATGCAGGGCTATGGTGAGATGTGCAGACACTCAGGTGGGCTGCAATTTCTATGGTGTGCTGTGCAGGTTCTATGGTGGCTGTGCGGGCTCTCAGGTGGGCTGTGTGGGGTCTATGGTGGGCTGCACAGACTCTCAGATGGTTATGTGGGGACTAGGGTGGGCTGTGTGAACTCTCAATTGGCTGTGCAGGTACTATGGTGGGTTGTGCGGACTCTCAGTTGGGCTATGCAGGGTCTATGGTGGGCTGTGTGGACTCGATTCTGGACTGTGCAATTTCTATGGTGAGATCTGCAGGTTCTATTGGGAGCTGGGCAGACTCTTAACTGGGCTGTGCAGGTTCTATGGTAGGCTGTTTGGACTCTCCGTTGGGCTTTGCAGGTTTTATAGTGTACTGTGCGGACTCTCAGGTGGCTATGCGGGGTCTATGGTGGGCTGTGTGGACTCTCAGTTGGGCTGTGTGGACTCTATGCTGGACTGTGGAGGTCTATGCTGGACTGTGAGGACTCTTACAAGGGATCCCAGGCAGTTTCCCAGTCAGGAGAAGGATATTTTTGGTTGGAGTGGGAGCAATAACTCTCGCACATTCATTAACTGTTAACTCTAAAATGATCACCTGTAAAGGCATTTAAAACGTCATCTATGGACAATTTTTGGTACCGTAGTTTTTAGCCATGTCAAAGTCGCACTCAATTTTAAAGTTTGACATGCTTGGTATCTTTTTATTCGACATATGCCCTTTTTTATATTTCAGACTTTAGCAAAACATTGGGTATTATTATGTGTTTGTGTACACTAAAATTTATTCTAGTGTATTTTTTCCTGAAAACATACATTTGATAAACAATTGCACAAATATGGTATGACACAAAAAAATGGTAACTGCCACCATTTTGTTCTACAGGGCCTCTGCTTTCAGAAAATATATGATAGTTTGGGGATTTTAAGTCATTGTTCTGGTAAATTACAATGTTTTAACCAGATATTACCATGTGTGCAAAAAGTAAAACAAATTGCCTAGGATGCAAAGTGGTTTATAATTTGGCCCCAGCTGTGTAGCATGGTTGTCACCCTCCTGTGCAAACTGCAGACAAATGTGCTTTCATGTAGTTAGCACCAACTTCTGGATGATAAACAGCTGCTCTGACCATATGGCAATTGATATTGGGACATCCTCTAAATGTAACTGCTGCTTTTGCTGAACAGCTATAACGAGGGATGTCCCGAAACCAATACTTGTACTCATGAAAATGCCCCGATTCTTAAAGCAGGCCTTTACCCATATCTTTAAAATAACAACAAACACAACATTAGAAATGTTAAGTAATGACAATCTACAAACAGATACTTCTAGATAATTGCACACTTTGTATTCTTTGCTTACCTTTTTTTCTCTTTTCTTTCCTAGTCTTCTGACAGTAGCCATGTTTACTAAGGGCAGAATACTAGCTCTCCTTTCACTTCCTGGATTTCTGGCACATGGGACTAGACATGTGACTAGAACATGTGACCACGCACATCATCTCAGGGGAAGAAAATGCCTTTCCCTGAGATCTCGTGAGATTACAGATTAGATTTCCCAGCAATGCTCTGCTAATGACAAGGCAATCCCATTGTGCATTATTTTGGCAAACTGAAGTAATTTTGCTTTAATAGTTGGACGTGAATGCTCTGCAAGTGTAAGTATTTTAAAATCACAGCATTTTATACTTGTCTATGTTATTATTAATCATCTATGTCTATGTTATTATTCATCATCATACATTGAGGGATGCATTTGGAGAATTCGATTTTTGAGTGTAAAGGTCCGCTTTAAGGCCGATACTGGCCCTTCACATTTTTAAACAAGTTCAGGTGCCTGAGGATCCGCGCTTGCTAGGGACCTCAGGAGGCCTTGTGGGGACCTCAGGCAGCTGTCTTTGACAGTGGCGGTCTGGCCATACATTGCTTCCTCTTACTCCCCGCAGCCCCACACCTGCCTGAACAGCCCCGGAGCCCGGCACGAGCCCGGATTCCACCCGTTCAGCACAGCACCCACCTGCAGAGCCCTGGAGAGAACCAAACACAGCCCTGGTGAAATCTGCAAGCAGCCCTGGTGAGTCCCAAACACAGCCCTGGTGAGACCAGCACACACCCCTGGTGAGACCTGCATGCAGCACTGGGGAGATCTGCATGCAGCACTGGTGAGTCCCAAATGCAGCCCTGGTGAGACCCAAACACAGCCCTGGTGAGATCTGCACACGGCCCTGGTGAGTCCCAAATGCAGCCCTGGTGAGACCCAAACGCAGCCCTGGGGAGATCCGTACACAGCCCTCAAGAGTCCCAAACGCAACCCTGGTGAGATCTGCACGCAGCCTTGGTGAGATCTGCACGCAGCCCTGGTGAGACTTCCCACAGCCCTGTAAAATTGCTGTTTAACCATTAGAAGACCAGGGTGTTTATACCCCCTTCCTGTCCAGGCCCTTTTTCAGTATTCAGTGCTGCAGTACTTTGAATGACATTTTATTCCGTCATGCAACGCTGTACTGAAATTAATTTTATATCATTTTTTGGCGACAAATAGAGGTTTCTTTTGGTGGTATTTTTTTTTTTACTATATTAAGGAAAAATTACCATAAATTTTGAAAAAACAAAACTGTTTCCCCTATATTAAATTATGAAACCTTTATTAATACCCAATTTTTTGCTAAAATATAAAATATGGGGTCACGTCAGGTAAATATACACCAAACATGTCAAGCATTATTTTTAGGGCTGCGGATATTAACGATTAATCCTTCGATTAATCGTTAATTTTTTTGATCGATCAAAATTATTTTGATCGCTCAAAGTTCTTTTGATCCATACTCACCTCTCCGCCGGATTCGTCTTCCGTCGATGTCCGCGACGTCACCGGACTCCTCCCCCCTTCCACAAGTGGCTCTGCCGGCTAACGAAGGGAAGGGGGGTGGAGTCCGGTGACATCGATGTCCGTGACGTCACTGGACTCCTTCCCCTTCCTTCCTTTGCTTCCTGTGCGATCTGCCATCATTTCAGGGGGGTGCTCTCTCCCAGCCCCCCCTAATCCCCCCTCCGCAGATTGGGGGGGGGAAGAGGGCACCTCCCTGAAACAGAGGGACACCTCCCTGAAATTGCTTATTTCAGGTTGGGATCCCTGGCATTGATCTATACACATACAGCACAGCAATTAATTAAGTAATAACATTAACTAGTATCACACTAATCCAGCACGTTATTATTCTGAGTTGCCCCACTAAAGCGGCGGCCATATTGAGTGGGGCACGTGAGATTAATAACGTGCTGGATTAGTGTGATACTAGTTCATTTTATTACTTCATTGCTGTGCTGTATATGTATAGGCCAATGTAGTTGGATCTGTATGTGCGTTATAATTAATCGAAATTAATCGATTAAAAAAAAATTTCGATTAATCGAACAGGAAAATTTTAATCATTACCAGCCCTACTTATTTTTTTTACACTTAATGTTATTGCTATCACATAGGGAATAACAATCTCCCTATGTGATAGCACAGGCATGCTGACAGGTCCTCTTTATGGACACATTAGGGGTCTCTAGGATATACTAAAATGAGATTCGGACATACATAAATTTGTTACTAATTGTTAGTTTTTCTTTTTGTGTGTGTGTGTGTTTATTATGGTTTGATAGAGGATTACATGTAAAACCCTATCTTCCTCACTTTTTCTGTACATGATCACTGCATCCTTTGTTTAAACAATATTGATTGACTGTTTATCTAATTATGTCACTTGTTCTGCAGAGTAGGGAAATTGTTCCCCTCTTTAAACATATGCAGTTGTAGAGGTATACATATAAATTTACATAAGAAGACACATGCCTGAAAGAGATGTAGGAAGAGGTGGGAGCTTCTACATTGAGTTAAATTTGATTCATGTATTTCTTTTTCATGGACACACCCTTTTGAGGAAGCCATTTGTAATAGGTAAAATGTGTTAAGACAATGGGGCTGATTTACGAAGCCCAACACGCACAC